CTGACCCCTCAGACGGAGGCACTTCACCTTCACCTTCCCATCATCTCTTTGTCTTTGCTGCTGCCATGCTGCACGCACACTGCACTTATCACACTAAATTTTATTTGATTGCATGTATGTCTTACTTTCAAAGAATAAACTACTTAATGGCAGGAGTCTTAAGGTTAAGAAAAGTTAATTACGTGTTCTAACTGCCTAGGCTACCACCAGGCACAAAGAAGTTTCATAAATATTCACTGAGTTGAATGCAAATGAGTTGATGCTTGAAGTCATAAATTTGACGGCTTCAAAATTGTGAATCATCAAAGAAATGCTAAATCGAGTTCATTATACTATTCAGTTATAGATATAGATAGGTAAGTTTTGAAAAGACTTTTGTTGACTATCTTGAAACCACAGAAGTATTTCAGCTAGTTACCCCAATTGCCTTTTTTTATTCAAATTTTTCTTGGCTTTCTTTTTGGCCTTGGTTTTTTTTTTTTACTTGGGGAAGGGAGGTTCTTGGTTGGGTTTTGGCTTGGGGGGAGTTTGAGGAAAAGGGTTTATTACTTTTTTTAAGTATGTTATAGAAATTACTTTTTGTGGAAAACACAAGACTATGAGAAAACTTCCAAATCATTTTTATACTTGGGGCAATTTATTTTAAGTTACCAAAGCTTTTACTTTGACAGAGGTAGGATTCAATAAGAAACATGTTTCAACTACTGAAAGTTGAAAGGCAAGTATAAGCAAAAAAAGAAAAAGAAATTTAAGTTCCCACAGCCTCCATTGCAGTTCAATCCCTTACAATAACTTCCTAATTGTTTTTTCATGTTCAGACTCTCCCCTACCAGCCTATTTAAACTGTTTCAAAATCGATGTTCCTATTGCAGAGTTGTGATAATGTTTCTCCGGTACTTAAAAACCTTAAAAACAAATCCCTGTTTCCTGAAGGACTCCATCTAAACATGTTTTAAAACAGCCCTTTGGCCTCCATGCATATTTTCATTACTGTCTTCCACAAGACTTCTATGTACATATAGCACGGGAGCCAAACTGGATTATTCAATTATTCTATAATCACATGCAATGATTTTTCCCTCTGTTCTTTTGTTAAATTAGCTATCTCCTCCTGGGGTGTCCACTCCTCACACAAGCTTTCATCAACTCCTGAAAACTCACCTATCCAGTTTTCTCATGAAGGTTTTCATGCTCTCCTTCAATCAGACATTTTCTCTCTCTCCTTTGAACTGTCACAGAACTTTACACATTCCCATGGCACCTAATAGGTCCCAGCTTATATCATAATTGTTTATGTATTTGGCTTATTCCTTCCTCTCCATGACACCACTACCTTTTTGGAAGGTCTGAAACTATGCTCTATTTTCCTTTATTAACTGCAGGTAATAGCATAGAACCTTTCCTACATAAGGTGCTCGAACAATGTTTCTTGATTTATAAAGTTGACTAAATACCATGAAAACCCTAAGGAATCACAATTGTTGATCTGCTTGGCAGCCAAAAACCTAGGTCAGGTGTCCTCTTGAGAAGTTTTCCAAAGACCCATAACAGGGATCTGTAAGAAGATAGTGGCACCTTGTTTTTAATCCTTCCTCAAATCCCTTAGAATACAGACAGTTGGGGAAAAAATCTCTTTGAAGAGTACTGGACTGGGAAAAGAGATAGCCTGGGTATTTTCATTTAGTTAATCTGAGTTTTATCTGGAAGATGAATGGTCTGGGTCAAGTCTCTTTAATTTTTCTACCACTAAAGTTTAATGATTTTAAATAACATCATATTATAATCTGGAAGAAAGAAAACCCTGACTCACTTATGCTAAATACTACAGAAATCAACAAGTAGAAAACACATTTTCCCAGCCATAAAATTGGGTTCCCCTATAATACAATTTTTCTGAAGACAAAGACATTCAACCACACATCTTTCGTAGCTTTTAAATATCACTGTGTCACTAGGTCATTGTCTCTGCCATCTGAGTTAGACACATATGCCATGCAATAAGCATCCTACACATTTGCTGCAACTTGAAATCCTGAAGAGGCAAAAGAGGGGATACGAATACTTCAAATGGAGGGGGTTAGTTTTTTTATTTGGAGTTTATGAAGTACCGATTTAAAGGTATTATTTGAATATTCAAGTGTGCTAATCAGAATTATTAATATTTTATTATTCCACTGCTGTACCTTCATTCCATTAAAGAAATTAAGTGGTACGGATTTAATCAAGTTCATTTTTCAAAAGGAGAAAAATGAGAATTCAGAATGCTTTTCATAGGATTTATAAAGCTTCGGAGGTCAGTATTCAGAAGAAATCAGATAACAAGTGCATTGTATTTTATTCTTGATTCTGCCAATAATTCCTCCTGGGAAAACCTGCAGCTCTACATGCTAGTTCAGAGGTGAATTAAAAAAAAAAAAGAA